CTTACCATTGGCATAATTTACTTTGTAATATTGATCTGACAGTAGAATAGATTCAGTCCAATGACCTTTTTTGGAACTTCAATTTAGTTAACTTGTAGAATCGTGTTAGATTATTTTGTGGCCAAGTCCTGGATTTTGGCATAGGCCAATACTACTTGTAACCTCAATCAGTAACCTGTTTGTCAAGTCTAGTAAGCCAGTAAAAGTCAATCAAACTGGTGACCTAATTAAATACAAATATTTTAATAAAAAAGATGATAAAGTCCAGCTATTATTTAGACATTAATCTTTGTGTGTATTAATGTGTATTGACTTTGTGTGATAGGAGGCCTGGTTGACGACCGGGCCGCGGGGACGCTGAGCCCCGGAAGCACCTCAAGGTTGATGAAATTCCCCCTACCAGTGAGAAGGACGAGTTCTGTCAAGGTACATCTCTTTAAGAACGTTGTAAATTTACTTGTGCTGGTTGAGTACACAGTGGTATCTCTGAAGAGGGCTCACCATTCTCAAAGATTAAATGCTCCAATGCTAATACAAAGTAAGGATGGGTATTGATCTCGTGTCCTTACACAAGTAAAAAGCTCATGCCCTTACTGTGTCCAAATTAACAACTGCCATTAGGAATTTGAATACAAAATTGTACAGGCCCTTGTATACCACACTGACCAATTCTAGAATATGTGGCACCAGAGTGAAGTCCTTATATTTCACACAATACAGAGCTAGAAAACATTCTGAAATATGATACTACTGTATTCTAGCTGACAGGTATGAATTATGAGGAATGACTAAAGGAGCTAAATCTCATGTCACTGGAAGAGAACAAATAGAGGAAACATGTTCACTAGATACACAATTCTCAGGCCGATAGACAGGACAGACAAGGATAGGCTATTCAGCATACGTGTTACATGAACAAAGAGAGACAGATAGAAGCTAAATACCTAAATAAGCCAAAGACAGATGCAAAATAATTGGCTTAGTGTCAGAATAGTAAACAAATGGAATGAATAAAGAAGTGAAGTGGTGGCTGTAGACTCCAAATCTTCAAATGAAGATATGAGAGCTGCAAGCACAACTAGGCGAGTGTAACTAGAGTACAGCCTTCCGCATCTCCATATTTTCTACATCATCATACAGGTTCCTGTAGTGCAGGACAATAACAGTTGGGCACATTTCCTTTCACCTGATGCCACTGTTTACCTAGCAGCAAAATAGATACCCAGGAGTTAAGACCACTATTGTGGGTTGCATCCTGGGGAAGGTCAGTAGATGGCCTGGGGACGGGGAAGGGAAAAGGGTCTCAATAAGCCTAGGTACAGGCTTCCCGTCCCCAACAATAGGAATTAAAATCATACCCTCCACATCATCATACCTTCTACATCACCTTCCACATCATTACAACTTCCATATCACACCTATGACATCACCATCTTCCACATCAGAACTAATAGATCACCTACTACATCATACTTTTCACATCACTGTCTACACCGAAAGACTGGACCATCATCGTCTTATACTTGCATAAAACCTGATTTGAGGCACAGTTGAGGAAGCATCACTGGATAACTGGGATAGAGGATAAAACATCTCCCGCTGAGAAATCAAAGCCTAGTCGGAGTAAAATATCACCATAGCCAGCTTTACAGACTTTGCTACAGAAACCCTCCTGCCTCAAGAGGAGGAAGACCTAGTTACAGAAACCTGTACTAAAAGGAATACCCATCCACGTCTAAAGCCAAAGGTGCAAAATTTGCCAACGGTATCTCTGAAAGAGTCTAGGAAGGGAAACCAGATCCCCCAATGTATAAAAGGAGAAAAGGGCTGAATCCTCTTGGAATGGAATCAAGGCCTCCAGACAAATCCTCATGGGTAAAAATCCCAGATGCAGCCAAACCAAAACCAGCACCTCCAGTTCAATCACAAAATGCAGGCCTGCAATAAAGTCCATAGGCACATTCAAAGCCACAGTCCAACAAGAAGTGTTACTTCTCACTGAAGGTATATATTAAACAACTTTATTAAAGATATCTCTTGGCATAACTGCTTTTTGACAAAATAGCAGTCAGGACAGGTAAAACAGAAACACTACCAGAGCAGCTAGTTATAGTCAGTGGCAAAACAGACACTAGTTAAACATGAAAAGATCAATGTTTAATAGAAAAACTATTCAATAAATGATCTAGATAGAGACTGCAGAGCAGATTCAGCAGTGACAGTGGGTCTGCTAGGTAATAAGGGAGAAGGCAGCTTCCCTCCACATTGTTTACATGTAGGGTGCTGCAACCTGGAAATGGTGGTGGTGGTGGTAGGTGACTTTGTCGATAATGATTTATTTTATTGTTAATCAGCGTTCGGATGGGATGTTGCAGGCATTGCTCTCTACTGTATGTTACAGTGGGCTGGTCTCTCAGTGATGGTCCAAGTTATTACGTCCTTTAACCACTTGCCATTACGTCCTTTAACCACCTTTATCAGGCTTGGGAAAAAAGTTATAAGAGTCTAGTACTGTATTGTATTATTGTCCTGGTAGTCTCAATTGCCTCTGGCTCAAAGAAGCATCCGAGGGGAATTGGCTCAAAAACTTGCAAAATAATAACCCTTTTCAGATGACACTTCTATATCTATTTTCTTCTGCAACTTTAGTTGTCCTTTAAGTGTATACTGTAATGGGCAATGTCACATAATGTACGCTAAATCATTCCTTTCAAATACAGTAGCATTTTTTAATCCAAATTATCATAATAATCAAATATTCTTACTCTCTCAGCTCATTTAGGTAATACACATTTACAAGGAAATTCCAAAGGCATAGTGTGCGAACATTACAGTTCTTAATGTCTAAACGTAAATGGTATAACACTACACTTGGGTAATTACATGTTAAGTTGCACAGAGCATTTTCCAAGATTTAATAAATGTGGCAAATCTGTTTCATACTTACACTTTAAGAATCCTTTATTTTTACTTAATTAAGTACATAATACCTTTGTTACTGAATTTGGAAAATCCACTTAACAAATTTCCAGTCTCTGTTATTAAACCCTAAAGGCAGTGTCACAATTCCCCTGCATAGCTGGGAAAACTGCCGCTTCACTCTCACCTTCATCATTGATAGCTTCCTCACAACACTACTCCATCTCAACCAAAACCTACATTCATCGTCAATCATCCGTTCTGAAGCTCAAGCAAAATCTAGGCGCCTGTATTAGACAACGTCACGATGTCAGTTGTTCCGCCAGATGTTTCGTGCCCAGGCTGTGGTGTCTTCAGTGTAACTATTCGCAGTCACACATTTTATTCTCTTTGTGTTAACGTAAAATTTCAGGTGTTTTTTCTTGCTCTTGTGTATCAGCCAAGTGGTGTAAGTCAGGGGTTTTTGTAATTCAGATGTAATTTGTTATATTCTTTTATCTTTATTATAGAGTAAATTGTTATATTTTTGTTAATATATTTATACGGATATAATGGAGTTAACCTAGGCCTATGAAACATTTTGTACTAATTTTATAATTGCTTATTATGCAGTGAGGTTATTGTGTACTAGTGGCATGTGATTATCATCACTTGCAATTTGGTGTTTCTTAACATTGTTTGAGTTTATTCATGGGCAACATTTCTAGAGAGAACAGCAGCAAGGAAGTGGGTTGCAAGATATTAGCTGTGCCAGCAATAGGTTTACAACAGCAATATAGGTGTACATGTATTATATTGTAGGCTACAAACAGTGCTCACTGTTTCGAAAAGGGCTGAACAAGGGCTCCAAGAAGCTAACATACAGAGATAGCTCCCCATTACTGAACCGGATCAGCCTTAGGAGTACTTTACGGCCTATTGGGGACCAGAGCCAGAACCTTGGCTCCCTCACAGAGGTACAGGGAGCATGGGATTGTTATGATTACCCTCACCGAGAAAACATCCAGAAAGTAAAGCAACACAGACAGCTGCCAAGTTCATAGAAAGCAAAACACTGAGACAGCCAAACGACTCCACAAACAACTCAAACTAGATCAAACCTCCCTAGTTACGACTGGCCGCCAACCGGTGGTAGCGCCGCCAAACGCTCCTGGCTTCCACATCATCTTAGCCTCAGTCTGGAGCTGAAAGATCATGAAATGATGCACCTGGCAGGGGACAGGAGGAATCAGGGAGCCACTGAGACACTACCAGAAAGAGGTGTTTCATTACATTCAACGCTGGTTTTCTAGAGGGGCCAAATGGTGGCTCTCTGTAGCTAACAACAAAGTAGAAGGAAAACATGGAGGAGTATTAGGAAGGAGGAGAGCAAAAACGACGCTCACGAAGATGAGACGCTGGAATGGGAAACCTCACACAGGGCATTATAAGCTGGGGTCGAATTATCACTCTTTCTCCTCCTACTTTCAAATTAACTCTTAACACATTTCCTTAACAAAATCTATCATAATTAATTTAACATGCCCTAGTCATCTCAGTATACTCAGCCCTTGCTATATTTACAACAGTGATGTAAATATAGTAAGTATAAGAATAAAGGAAATTGCACAATACCTATTGGCACATAAGAGGCAGCTCTTTTTTATATCCACCCAAACTCATTCATACTGGAAATTTCTAAATTTTTAAATAAGAATTTAGTATTGAATATATATATTTTTCTCAAAATGAGCATAATTACATAAATCATTGCAATTCAATTTATGCAAAACATAATGGTCAAAATGGTCAATTAAATGGCAAAACATTTAAAGCTGAAATGCAAATTTAGGTTTGATTTACACAGCAGGATTAATATTGGTAGAACAAATGAGAATGTAGATTTTAAAAACTTTTCATTCAAGTTTGTTCAAGAATTCAAATACAAGTACTGTCAAATGTACATCACTGCCTGATCCGCTTCTGGATGAGGATTTACAAAATCACACAACTAATACAGACATCAAGATAGTATGGTTTTTGTGTGATCTTATAAAACTAGTGACATAAACAAGCAATTATACAAACCAGCTGTCACCTACCTGGCAGTTTTTTGGTTCGGAAAGAGGCATTTGTGATGAATGTTTTTGACAGTGGCGTAGTAGTGGTAGATGGAGTTAGAGCAACACTAATGCCCATTGGTCCATCACTGGGTTGTCCTGGTGGTCAATAACATGATATATTAAAGTTTAAAATAGTCCTTAGTGTAGGAAGCAGTGGCTGGCTGCAAACAATCTGGTCTGTAACCTTAGTACAGCTATAAATATATTTGAAAAAACTAAAACAATATATTTTAACTCGCACATGCACAAGCACACAACTGTATGCCAGACTGGAGATGTGGCACTAATGGAGTACCATAGGGTTCAGTTCTTGTATCAATAATGTTCATTGTTTATATAAACAATCTACAAGACGGGATTCAGTTACATAAATATGTTTGCAGATGACGCTGCCATGCCATACAAAATGACCTAGACATAATAGTGTGTGCAATAGGGGGGAAAACAGCCACACTTATGAAATAAATTTTGTAAAAAGATACTAAAGAACAAAGAAAGAGATCCAGGGTTGGTTCTGGATAGTAAACTGTCACTAGAGGATCACATCAAAGGCATTGCGAGAGGAACCTATGCCATGCTAGCAGATTTTAGAACTGATTTTATGTACAGTATATGGATAAAGAAATAGTAAAGAAATTATTCAAGACACTTGTAAGACCGAAATGAGAATATGCAGCAGTTGTGTGGTGTCCATATCTCATGAAGCACATCAATAAACTAAAAAGACATACTACTAAAATGCTTCCAGGACTGAAAAAAACAAGAGCTATGAGAAGGGGCTGGAGACATTACATATGCCAAAGTTGGAAGACAGAAGGCAAAGAGGCAATATAAAAACCATGTACAAAATAGTGATCAGAATACACATATTTGATAAGGCGGCTTTTTGAAATCTACAGTTTTAAGAACAAGAGGTCATAGATTCACACTAAGGAAACAAAGGTCGCAAAACAACATCCAAAAGTTCTCTTTTTTTTTTTTTATCTGAATCATGGAAGTTCCTGTTTAACAAATCTATTTACAGTAATTTTGATTATAGAGCCCCAAACATTTTACAGGAAAGAGATAGTCGAGCTAACAGTATTTATGTAGATCTAAAACAAAAAAAACTTTTGACAGTCCAACACAAGAGGTTGTTCAGGAAGCTGAAGCATTATAGAGTGATGACAGGCAGACTGTTGAAATGACGAAAAAATAAATTTAAACAAAAATGAATCAGAGGCAATGTATAAGACAAGGAATGTTATTGGTGGAATACCACAAGGTTCAGGTTCAGTTTTAGCACCGGTAATGTTCATTGTGTATACAAACGATCTACCTGAGAGAATACAGAATTATATGAGCATGTTTGCTGATGATGCTAAGCTACTGGAAAAATAAGTGTGTTAAAATATAGCCATACCCTTTAAGGACAAAATAAGTTTATGGAACTCAACAAATGGAATTCAGTGTGAATAAATGTCACACTATGGAATGTGGAATTGGAGAAAATAGGCCCCACACAACCTACAAGAGCACTAGGATATTAAGTTGTCACCTGAGGGCAACTAAAGGACATTGTGCGAGGAGCTTATGCTACGCTTTCCAACTTCAGAATCAGTTTTAAATACATGGATGCTGAAATACTAAGGAAATTATTCACAAATTTTGTGAGACCAAAACTGGAATATGTACGGTGTGGTTAGGTACAGTTATACAGTGCCCATATATCCAGAAGCACATCAATTAACTGGAAAAGGTGCAAAGACATGCTACTTAACGGCTTCCAGAACAGAAAAACAGGAACTATGAGGAAAGGCTAGATGTGTTAAATATGCCAAAGCTAGAAGATAAAAGAGAGACAATATGATCACTACACACAAAATAATAATGGGAATTGACCAGATTGACAAAGAGGAATTCCTGAAACTGGCAATCTTAAGAACAAGAGGTCATAGATTCAAGCTAAGGAAACATAGGTGCTGAAAAAAATATTTAAAAAGTTTTCTTTTGCAATCAGAGGGGCAGACAGTTGTAATAAGTTAAGTGACAAAGTTGTGGGGGGCCAAAACTGTCAGTAGTTCCAAAGCGTTATATGACAAAGAGTACTGGGAAGATGGAACACCACGACATGACAAAGAGTACTGGGAGTGTGGAACACCACACTCTCATCCTGTTACTTCACTTGGGTAATTACAATTTTTTTTTTTAAGAATGAGGCACTTGTCAGGACTGGATTAGCCAGGAGCCAAAAAAAATCTGACATTAAATAATCCTTGATATTTTTTGCAAAAGTTTTTATATATAATAACAAGATTGTGGTCCCATACATATTGCAGTATTCACTCACATCACTGTACTATGACACCAAAAGATGCTTTACAAGTTCAATGGTTTCTTCTATGAACAGAATATGATTACAACACTTACCACTAGGATTAACCTTCAGAGAGTTCTTGATGGCATTTGTCATTAGTAAGACATCACCAAAAAGTTCATACTGTGCTCTCATATGGATATCTTCAAGCGCTTGTATTCCAAGGCTGGCAAATTCATTAAACCTGTAATATAGGCCAAACATTATACCAAACTGCTGGAGAGCAATTATCACTATATATTCATTATCTTGAGCTTTCATAAAAATTCACTGATTCACATAAAGTAAATTATTTTGGGCTATACAGTAAAGGTTATATACTGTATGTATATATGTGTATGTATGTATGATGTATATATATATATATATATATATATATACACACACACACACATATATACTATATACAGTATATATAAATACTTTTACGGATGCATGAAATAAAGCGCCTGCATATCAAGGGATACAATCTTAGAAAAATGATAGTCACATTCAATTAAGAGACCAGGTGAAGGTAAGAAATTTACGGTACATTAATATACATATTTATAAACAAATATTATAAGTGATAAAGCAAATTGGATGAAGTAAGATGGGTATCTTCATCATGCAAAGTCTACACATTCAGACTTAATTTAATTTGAAATTCTTGGGTAGGATAAGTCATTATATAAAGACTAGGAAATTCCCAAGTACCCTCTTCACGAAGATAACTTTGGAAAGTAGTTTTGGCAAAGTGACCTTGCAGCTTTATGTCATTCAAATAAAAATATCCAAGATTCAAAATAAATTATTAAAAGTACAACTACATATGCTACATTCATCTAGTGACACCCCAGTTGTCCACTGTAGGTACTAGTGCTGCTATACTACCCTGTAGTGAAGAAATGAAGTTAAAAAATGAGAAGCTTCCAAGTGCCAGCATCCAGCTAGCTGCAACAAAGGAACAACAATAAAGGTAGTTAATCGTGGCTTGGTGTAGTATTCCTCGACCTCTACTGACATGTACAGACCAGGTACTGTGGCAAGTGTCGTGGTGCTTGTAGTCTTTTGTGGGGGCTCGTGTTCTAATTTGTAACAATTGGACACTTCTTGTTACAGTTATGAATAATTACACTATTTCAACAGGTTTTATAGTCAATGAACTTTTTATTCAACAATCAACACTATAGAGTGCCAATCTAGATGATTAACGATCTACAAGGATGCAGGGTTAAGGGACCGTGGGAAGAATCTTCTAGAATACTGACAGTAGGACTGAACTCCAGGTGTATCGTGGGTTAAAGTGGGAAAACATATCGGTGGGGGTGTTGACAGAGGTTCTTAAGAGCCACTAATTTTGCTCTTACTCTATGCATGTATATTCTGTATAACTATGTATACCACCACCCTTCATGCATCCTTTTAGAATAAGGTAATTGAAGGAGTGAGCCCATTGCAAGCACCAATGAAGCTGGTCTGTAACAACACTACCTGCGTAGTTTGACATGTGGACTATGGTAACACTGTCCAGCACAATTCGGCATCATAGCAGGGCACTGGGTCCCTTCTCCTTTGGCGGCATTGTGGCTGCAAATGAACAAATTTTGACGAAACCTATTCCAGCCACATTACACAGTTGAGATTAATTATTGTCATGGCCCCTTGAAGCTGAAAAAGCTGGTTAATGCAGGCTGCTATAAAATTATAAGCATAGCAGGAAATTCAGTTAATGGTGATCAATCACAGACATAGCATTAGGGATTGTGTCAATTATAAAAGTTTACTGTTATTATTAGTAAGCACATATTATGACCTAATACACTCTTCAAATAAAAACAATCTTATAGCAAAATTTTAATAAATATTATCTGGTAACCAAGTATATACTCAGACATAAACCTTGAATGTATTCAAGGTTTGTGTGACCATAAATTCAATCTTCAATGACCATAAACTGATGTCCATTGTATGTGATAATTGTGTGTGTGTGTGTGTGTGTGTGTGTGTGTGTGTGTGTGTGTGTGTGTGTGTGTGTGTGTGTGTGTGTGTGTGTGTGTGTATATACAAATGTATGCATGCATAATTGAACTATATACAGTATATATATTTCCTTTACCACAGTGAAGTCAGGAAAACTTCTCTAAGTGGTTTTGAAACAGTGAGCTGTTACAATGTCAGTTACAAAATTATTTAAAGAAATATTTGTTTGTATTAAATTCTGGTACTTTTGCATAGAGAGTACTTACTATATATATATACAACAAATATGATCTTACCAATCATGGGGGTTCTGTGCTTTTAGATTGGCATGAATGGCATAGCAGAGCTCTGTAACATAAGCCCCCAACATGCAGCTATTGTCATTGGTTCTTAAGAGCCACTACAAGGATGTGGCTTTTAAATTAACAAGGATGTTTTGGCCCCCCTATCTCCATGGGGGGGGGGGCACTGCAGTTACCATCAGTTATCAATTTTTTTTTTATTATTGCTCAGTTTTTCCTGTGTTTACCTGAGAGCTACTAACACTAGTGGCCTCGACGAGGACAGGAAGATGGCGGTTTGTCAAAAGTCCCCCCCCCCACTTGCTCTGATGATCTTTTCCATGACGAAAAGCATTAGTATGATAAGCTTACTAAATTTATACCAATGATGGTGTATAATATTACAATCAATGGTTATATTATTTATAATATGGATACAATGGAGTTAACTTAAGATGGTAAAACATCTATTATGAATTTTGTAATTGCTTACTGTATCATGATGTTCTCAAGTACTAGTGGCCTACAGTTCCTTGATAGATTTCCCAGCGCAGGAGGGGTTGCAAGGTGCTCCGTATGAGCTGTACCAGGAAAAGGTTTATGTATACTATCGGTGTACATACTGTATTGCATTACATTGTAGGCCTGTTTACTATACAGTATTCACTGTTTTTATCAGTTGTATGAAAATAAATTGAGTTATTCAACACAAACACTACATTGTGTTATAAGTTTTTAAGTGAAGCAATAATCATTAAAACTATTCATGTTGAATATTCAAGTTCTCTCCCCTGTACAAGTGTCAGCACACTACACCCGCCTCACCAAACCAGATAAAGATTAAGATATTTGTTTTTATTTATTTGTGCCTTTCCTAACCTTTTACATGCAAATTCTATATATTTTTTATAAATTTTTGCACAAAAATGAGGTAACAATTTTGATGATAGCTGCATGTTAAGGATTATGGAAGTTATTTTTAGAGATATTATACAATACCCGTATAGGTTCTAAGATTTGTCCATGTTTTAGCACTGTACAGTTAATTCCTTAATTATGAAGAGTGATTTGTTTTATTAAGCCTACTACATTCTAAGCAATTTCCTTGGTGTTGGTTAACTTTTGCTGGTTAACCAGCAAACTTTAACTATAGCATGCTGGTCCCCGCATGCTAACCTTATTTCTCCCCTTAAACTGCACGCCAGTAGTTTGCACCTATCCACCCATGTGCAAAAATCATCTACAGGTCATTAAAGCCATGCATCCAATTGCTTGAGAGCAATCGGAGCAATACAAGGGTTAAGATAGCTAGATTTTGGATCTAGTTCTTGGAAGACCTGTGTAATCTTAGGAGCCTGATACAATTGGGAGTAGCTACAGTATTAGTGCATAAAGTGCCACACAGATACTGAGAAATAAAGCACAAAAGAATATTAAAGTCATCATAGGTTTACACACACCATTAAGAAAATATATTTTCATAATTATAATTCATTGTGTTGGGAAACAGGCAGCCAGGGTGTATATATACAGTACATACAGTATTAGGCTTATATTGAGGTCCCCCCCCCCAGGTCGAATTAATGACCCCCCGAGATGCAACCCCACAACAAGCTAGCTAATTCCTGGGAACCTACTTACTGCTAGGTGAACAGGTGCATTAGGTGATGGGAAATGCACCCAACTATTTCTGTCCCACCCAGGATTCAAACCCGGAATTCTCGATTGTGAGTCGAGAATAAACCCAACTGTACTATGGGGACCCCTAAATATAATATATATAACAATATATAATATACAGAGACCCAGCCAAAGAAAATAACATTTTAAAATACACAGGTAACATACAGTACTTGATACTTCTAACATAAAAATGCATCCAATATACAAATTCATAAGAATGTAGTGGTAGATAAAAAGATTAATAATTGTGAAACATTTTACAGTTTTCAATTATTAAAACATTTATATTTTTCTGTGCAACTGAAATAAAAATGGTAATGGAAACAAATTGACATACACAAAAGCTGTAATTTACCAGTAAATTAAGTTGCAAAAAAAAAAAAAAAAAGCAAACGCACCTTGAATAATGGAAGTGTGCAAGAGGCATGCTTATGGACATAAGTGGGGGCAGGTCATGCAGGCTTCGTTCAGCTGGCCTGTAACGACACACACACACACATTCGTGGATTATCAAAAGGTTAGGTGTGCCGCAGTAACAGTCAACTTGAAAAAACTATTCCATGTATCCATGCACATGCTTTACCATCATCACAATGTGCTCAGTCTAAAAAGGCATTCTCACAAGATTATTATAACAAAAATTCACACACAAAATAATAAACAATGAAGGTGACAGAAAGACCCAATATATGTGTAAGTGTATTAAACACTGGATTTTTGGATGTGACTTTCCTTGTCTTAAGATACTCTATACAATGTTCTGCTGCATATTGTATAGCAGAACATTGTATAGAGCCCCTTGAGAAACTATGTAGGTGACATCGGCAAATTTGGCTTTAATTGGGTCTTTCCTTCACCTTCTTTCAAGCACTATGGCATTGTTGTAAGTTTCTCCATAATAATCAATCACTATTCTGAACAAAAGTTAATGAAGTATCTAGAGGATAAAAATAAATGACAATTTTTTAGGTATAAAAAAGGACTACAGTAACAATCACTGAGATTTTAGATAATGATAAACACAAAACACGAAGCTTTAATATACCTTGACAGAAAAGTTCCAAAATTATTCAAATTATAGTTAAAATTGGAAGGAAAGGACTTCGTCCTGACACTGTAATAATACCCATTTATTAGTGGGAAAGATCAAATTTTGATGGAGTTTGAACGAAGACAAAAATAAAGAACCACTGCGTGTATGCAACATCATGTCTTAAGCACTATAGAACCAATCCATCTTCCAAAAAGATAGGACTTATAGCAACTACTGCTTGAATGTACACAAAAATAACTGCTGCACCCAGAAAGTTCACTTTTGGTACTATTGAAATACTCCAAATGGCATGCCAAAAAGTAGAAAACTATACAACCTAACTTGCCCTTGGCCTAAATAAGCAAACCTAAGCAAAATATATACCTTCTTAGGCCTAATTTAGTACATGTGTGTGCTATACTTGGCCTAGGAATGTTTAGGTGTCATTACTGCCTTCTGTCTCAGCCCTCTACAGATTTAATAGTATAAAATGTAAACTTTGTGTGTGTCACACACTATTTTTGAACATTCAGCCAATAACTACAATGATTACTATCATTTGTGGATAATAGATGGGATTCAACACAAGGAAAGACGTTTATTGGGGGACTGGATAGTAAACTGCACTCAGAGGGCCATATCTAGGACATAGTAAGAGAAGCCAGTGGCTAATTTCACGGTTGCCTTTAAATATATGAATGGAGAAATACTTAAAAAATTGCTCATGATATACATGAGACCTAAATTACAATATGCAGCAATTGTATGGTACCAATTTCTCAAAAAAACATACCTATCAATTACAAAATTTGAGAAAAAACAAAAAACATGCTACTAAATGTTTAGAACCAGACCTAGAACACAAGAGGTATGAAAGGCTGGAGGGTTCTGATATGCCAAAGCTAACAGATGGAAGAGAGTGAATTATGTAATCACCAAATACAAAATCATGACAGGGATCAACAAAACAGATAAAAGAGGAAATTTGAAATCCAAATCATTAAGAACAAGAGGCTATAGATTCTAACTAAGAAATCAAACATGCCAAAAGATTATTCAGTAATTTTCTTTTTTTAAGCATAATGGTAGACAGATGGAATAAATTAATTGAGAGAGAATTTTACACCAAAGCAATCAGAAGCATCAAAACTTCATTTGATAAAGGTTATAGAGAAAATAGACCACCACAAGCCTAGTTCCCATCCTGTAACTGCATTTAGGTGATTACACCATGCATCATGCCCCACACAAAAGTAAAAAGATCTTACATAACAACATAACACTAATATTTTAGAGTCTGTAGTGGTGTCCAAATAAATGATTAGTCACTCAGTTAGAAATAAGTGATTACAAAAAAAAGGAACAAAATTAATAAAAACAAGAGTGATATAACCTGTAGAGACCACTATGAGACTGTCCTCTTTGTTTACACTGGACCAGTCCCTTGGCGAGTTAACCTTGTGGATACACTAGTCAATTGCGGTTGATTCAAGGTAAACATGCCTGTGACGCAATACTTCATGTGACTTCCAACTGGATAACTACAAACATGTTTCCAAACCATGTAATCTTTGACTAGGTTATCTTGAGATGATTTCGGGGCTTTAGTGTCCCCGAGGCCCGGTCCTCGACCAGGCCTCCACCCCCAGGAAGCAGCCCGTGACAGCTGACTAACACGCAGGTACCTATTTTACTGCTAGGTAACAGGAGCATAGGGTGAAAGAAACTCTGCCCATTGTTTCTCACCAGCACCCGGGATCGAACCCGGGACCACAAATCCTGCCATTGGTTGGCGATACAAAATGTCATAACACATGGTAATGCCAAAAACTGGCAATTATGCTTCCTACAAACTCTCACCCGTTTGCACCTCACACACACACATTTCTAATATTTCTTTTACATAATTGTGTGTTATGATATTTTACAGATTGTATAAAAAACCACACACACACACTAGAAGTTGTGCAACGACATACTGTATTACTAAATTACTTTCAGACCTATAAATCAAGAGCTATTACGAGAGCTGGATGCATTAAATATGCCAATGCTAATACAGTATATAGAAGGGGGAAAAAAAGAGGGGGATATAATCACACACAAAAAATTAGCAATAAACAACAAAATTAACAAGAATGAGTTTTTTTAAAATCTCCAACTTCAAGAACAAGAGGCCACAGATTCAAACTAAGAAAACAAAGGTGCCCCAAAAACATGGGAAAGCTCTCTTTTTGCAGAGTTGTAGACAGATGAAATAATTTAAAAGAGGTAGTGGGTGGCTGCAAAAACAATCAGAAGCTTCAAAACACTATAAAATAATGACTGTAGGGTACACCACAAGCATAGCTCTCCTCCTGCAACTACATGTAAGTAATCACACACTCGGCTCTTCTCACCTCACCTTAACTCTCTGATTATAAACAACATTGGAGTTGATTTGCATACTGTACTTGGAAAGAAATTTTATATGTACACTGTAAATGTTTTCATATTCTTGTTCAAGACTTGTTCCTCATTTTCTTTACTATAATTATTAACGTTAAATGTTATGAATATTTTTGTCTAATTAGAAATGTAAACAAAACACAAATTATAAAACATAGACCATTGAGAAAATAACACAATTCAATATTGGTAAAACCCAAGTGTTGATAGAATGAAATGCCCTCTTGTGGTGGGGTCCTAGTAGCTCCTTGAGTGTAACTCTGATAATTGTTATGCCTTAACTACACACACACGTGTGTGTGTGGAAATGTGTGAAACATTAAACAAAAAGTTCCAAAGTGTGTTTGTACAAGATGAAATCTTCTGGGAACCAGACACAATAAGAATTCCAGAGAACAATATAGAGCACAAAGACGTGTCTAGAGACGAAGTGGTAAAAATGCTCAAGGAGCTAAGTAAGAACAAAGCAGTTGGTCCAGATGGAGTTTCACCATGGGTTCTGAGAAAATGTGCACCTGAACTCAGCATTCCACTTCAACTGATTTTTCAAGCATCCCTGTGTACAGGCGTCGTAACTGATGTGTGGAAGAAGGCTAACAGTTCCAATCTACAAATTCCAATCTCAGGAATTCTTCCCTATCAATTTTATCTATTCCCATTACTATTTTGTATGAAGGATCAAATCACCTCTTTTTCTTTCATCTTCTGGTTTTGGCATATTTAATGCCTCTAGCCTCTCCTCATAACTCTTTTCCTTCAGTTCTGGGAGCCATTTAGATGCATGACTTTGCACCTTTTTGAGTTTGTTGATGTGCTTAAGATATAGGCACCATACAACCACTGCATATTCCAGCTTTGGTTTAACAAAAGTATTGAACAACATCTTTAGTATTTTGCCATCCATGTATTAGAAGCAATTCTGAAGTTATAAAGTGTAGCATAGGCTCCTTGCATGATATTCTTTATGTGGTCCTCGGGTGATAGTTTTCTATCTAGAACCACCTCTAGATCTCTTTCTTTATCAGACTTCTTTAAAGATTTCTTATAATTTACTGGTTGTGTGGGGTCTATGTTCTCCTATTCCACATTCCATAACATGGCATTTATTCACATTAAATTCCATATGCCAAGTAGTGCTTCATACACTTATTTTGTCCAGGTCTTCTTGAAGGGCATGACAATCATCTAAGTTTCTTATCTTCCCTATTATTTCAGCATCATCAGCAAACATGTTCATATAATTCTGTATTACATCTGGTAGATCGTTTGTGTAGACAATGAACATTACCGATGCAAGAACTGAACCCTGTGGTACTCCACTTGTGACATTTCTCTAGTCCGATACACTTCCTCTTATTACTGCCCTCATTTTTCTATCAGTCAGAAAATTTTTCATTCATGTTAGTAGCTTACCTGTCACCCCCTACAATGTGTTCCAGTTTCCAGAACAACCTCTTACGTGGAACTCTGCCGAAAGCCTTTTTTAGGCCCAGATAGATGCAGTCAACCCAACCATCTCTTTCCTGTAAGACCTCTGTGGCTCGATCATGGAAACTGAGTAAATTTGTTACACAGGATCTTCCAGATTGAAAACCATATTGACAGTCTGATATTATATTGTTTCTCTCCAGGTATTCTACCCATTTAATTTTAATTACTTTCCCAATATTTTGACTATTACACTTGTCAATGATACAGGTCTATAATTGAGAGGGTCTTCCCTGCTACCACTTTTGTAGATTGGAACTATGTTAGCCTTTTTTCCACACGTTTGCTACGACTCCTGTACACAGGGATGCCCAAAAGATCAGGTGAAGTGGAATGCTAAGCTCAAATGCACATTCTCTCAGAACCCATGGTGAAACTCCATCTGTTTTTACTGTACTTAGCTCCTTGAGCATGTGTGTGTGTGTGCGCAGGCGCCCTACTGTGTTCTTTACTTGTCTACCTTATGTAACTATTATCTAAACAAAATTCTTGTTTTTCTTGCTTGCC